AAAGGAAAAGGGTTTACTTGGCTCATGGTTCTGCAGGCCGTACAGGAAGCCTGGCGTCAGCATCTGCTTCTAATGAGGTCCTCAGGTAGCTTCCAGTAATGGCTGAAGGGGAAGGGGAGCCAGAGTATCACATGGCAAGAGGTGAACAAGAAAGAGAGAATGGGTGCCACACTCTTTAAACAACCAGCTCTCATTTGAAGAGACAGAGAGCGAGAGAGAGAGCTCATTCATTACTTCAGGGAAGGCACCGAGCCATTCATGAGGGATATGACCCCACAACCTAGACACCTTCCACCAGATCCCATCTTTAATACTGGTGATCAAATTTCAACATGAGGCTTGGAGGCAACAAACATCCAAACTATATTATCTAAAACACTTAGAATGGTGCCTGGCACATTGTAACTGCTTGGTAAACGTTGGATGTTACTATGTCTTGTGTAGGCAGAACATAGGCCAAGCATCAGCAGCATGTCACAAAAGTAGAGACAAGGTTTTACTCTGTTGCCCGACTTGTCTCAAGCTCTTGGGTTCAAAGGTGACATGACACTTTTGTCGGGAGAGCACTGTTTTACACTCCTGTCATGTGTGGGATTCTAGGGATTTTAAACCTGTATGCCAACCTGTAAATCCACCAACCTGCCCTGCTGTAGATTTCCTTTTCTTCCTTTTCTTTCTTTTCTTTTCTTTCTTTCTTTCTTTCTTTCTTTCTTTCTTTCTTTCTTTCTTTCTTTCTTTCTTTCTCTTTCTTTTCCTTCCTTCCTTCCTTTCTTCCTTTCTCTTTCTTTTTCTTCCCCTCCCCTCCCCCCTTCCCCTCCCTCTCTCCCTCTCTCCCTCTCTCCTTCCTTCCTTCCTTCCTCCCTCCCTCCCTCCGCCCCCTTTCTTTCTTTCTTTTTGTTTGCATCACACTCTGCTGCCCAGGATGGACTGCAGTGGCATGATCGCAACAATCACGACTCACAGGAGCCTTGACCTGTGCTTGGGAGATTCTTCCACCTCAGTCTCTTGACTAGCTGGGACTACAGGTGTGCGCCACTATCCCTGGCTAATTTTTGTGATTTTTTTTTTAGTGGAGACAAGGTTTTACTTTGTTGCCCAACTGGTCTCAAACTCTTGGGCTCAAGCAATCTGCCTGCTTTGTCCTCCCAAAGTGCTGGGATTATAGGTGTGATCCACCGTGCCTGGCCTCCTGCTGAATTCTAAGATACCTGTAAATAAAGAGAAGCCTTCCAATTCAAGAAATGCTGTGTGATAATTGGATCTCTGTAGACTGATTTCCTACCACATTCAGGAGAAAACCAGCGGACATATGGAGTGCAGGGGGAAAGATGACCAGACTAAAAAATTTTTAAAAAGTCTAGTCACCTCAAAGTGAGCAAAGACCCTCTTTCTCATCACCAAAGCCCAACTTTTTACTCCTTGCAAGAGGAATTCAATTAAGTTAACAATATGAAGGAAAACAGCACTTCTTTCTGGTAGTTATCCTTTTTACTTCTGCCTAGCCTATGAGATATCTTGTATAGTCTGCAAGAATGGTTCTGAAAGTACGTTGACCTTCCATATGACCCAGCAATCCCCCCACTGAGAATATACCCAGAGGAACTCAAATCATTTACAAAAACGATACCTGCACATGCATGTTTATTGCAGTACAGTTCACAATAGCGAAAAACATGGAACCAACCATGCTGCCCATCGAAACTGGACTAGATAAAAGAGTGTGGTACATATACACAATGGAATATTATGCCACTATAAAAAAGGAAAAACATATGGACTTCGCAGCAACTTGGATGAATTTAGAGTCTATTATACTCCATAATCTACCACAGAAGTAAAGAACAGAGTACCACATGTTCTCACTCATAAGCAAACCCTGAACCTTGACCATATTACTATAAGAAAGTGATTGGCAGTAGTGGGATACTGCTGGGGTGCGGAGGGGGAACACAGCATCAATAAGGGTACCTGATCTCAAACCAGCAAAGTGGAGACCAAAGAGAGGCTGTACGATGACTACTTGTATACCTAATCCTGAAATGTCCCCCACATGTTTAAAATAAAAAAAAATTAAAAATAAAAACCCTTACCTAGAAAACCATTAGGGAGGTTAGAACTTAAATGAGAGCTAAGTTCTCCTTGCATGGTACCCTGCAAATAAATGCCCACTTGCTAGGAAAAAAAAAAAAAGAATGTTCTGAAAGTAGAACTGAATTCTAAGGAAGAGGCTGTGTCCAACAGCCTCCTGTCAGAAACCCTTCTGGATTATTCTGAGCCAATGGACAAGAAAACTGGGGATTCTTCCCCCTACACCATCCCCACCTTTGTATACTTGGGTTTATGCTAAATGTTACAGATCCTCCTGACATGTAAGTATAATATTAGAAGAATTTATATTTATTAAGAGTTTTTTTGTACTCCGCAAGAGCTGAGTCTTATAAATGCATTACCCTATTTGATGCTGTGTGCCGCTTCCAAGGAAAAATGCGGTGCTGGAAATCAAAGTTCTGAAAAGTGCTAAAGTTGGCTTTTCTGACTCAGAGAGGGTTGATGTGTCTAGCTACTTCAAGCACTGTAAAGTAGTGTAGCTGACATCAGGACTGAGCACAGCTCAGACTAGAGGAGATGCATCTAAACAGCTTGTCCGTTTAAAGTTTTTGGAAGTGGTGAGGTGAGAAAAGATTTGCGGCAGAGGCAGAGACCAGTAAGAATTCTAGCCATGATCTGATGGAAGTCCTTTCATTCATTTATTCATTCATTTGTGATATACACATTGAATGCCTATTATGTACCAAGCACTCTTCTTGGCCTAGGTAACAGCAATGAATAAAAATATTCTTATCCTCATGGAGCTGTTTATATTCTAGGGCTGCCCACTAGTGTACACGAAACAGTATAATGTGATATAAGTTATAATAAGTGCTAAGACATAAAGTTGTAAGGGGCTAGTGACAAGGACACTCTTTTAGACGTGGCCTCTGAAGTGGTGACATTTGAACAAGTCCTGTTGGGAATAACACGAAGGAGAATATCATGTGATTATGTAGAAGAAGGAGTACTCTCAGAGGCCACAGAAAGCACAAAGGCCCTGATGCAGGATGCCTGATGGCCACTGAGCAGGAATAGAATGAACAAGGTGGCAACTGGTAAGAGGGAAGATCAGAGAGGGAGCAGAGCTTTACTGGTCAATAGCAATCATTCCAGGCAGTGAAACCCTGAGCTCCTATTAGGCTTGAGTTCTTACCACATTTTAATATTCATAAAACCCCTTGAAGCAGGTCTGATTACTCCCTTTTAACGGTGCCCAAAGCCACCTCATGGAATAGTAGAGATCTCCTGGGATTCTGCAGTGGCTTAGGTGTCTCTCCCGGTTTGCTATTAACCTGAACTCGCCTTTTCTCTCTCTCTCCATCAGATGGAACATACTCCTAGAGCAGAGAATCTATTTTTAAATGCAAAGAATCTTTATTTACCATCCTCATTATTTTAAAATACTTGCCTTGACCTTTTCTCATACCTGGGCAAGTTCTGATACCAAATGGATGTTTTCTGCACTTTGGCCTTAATATCCTGCAACGGTCTTCATTCTTTCAAAAAGTGATTTAAAAATAAGCAAAGTACAGTTGTACTAACAGAGGAAAATAAATAGAAATGTAGCAATAGATGAATAGCCCATGATCCCTGGGTTTCATTTTATAAAAGAGAGCTGTCTTTCTTTGTTCGGTCTGATTTGTATGAAAACGTGGAAGTATTAGGCTAGTGACTAGTGAGTTCTGGGATTGTTTCCCAAAAGAAATTAAGTCATAAATAATTTTAAAATTATTTTTGTAATGAAAATAGAATTAAAATGTTGAACAAATGCTATAAAAACCCTTATGGTCCATATTAAAAAGGAAGATAGAGTGTCAAGTGAACATAATTGAACTACTTACATTTTTAGTATCTGCAGTCAAAAGGGAGATGAAGATGCCCTCATTTTAGCTACAGATGGGCCTATAAATAGGACATGGTAAAATAAGTTTAAGATAAGAGTGATTCCATCTATCTAAAAGAACCAAGGAATTTGCTTTTGGAGGACATGCCCAGACTTCCCACTGAGTCTTGTCCTGCATAGAAAGTCATGGAAATTCGCTTTCTGAATCTGGTGTTGGCCAAGTAGAAAGCTACTACTTGGTTAATCCAATCATATTTGTCATTTCATTGCCAGCTATTATAAGCTAGAGTTAATCTGATTAGTGCTAATGTTTTAACATAAGTAGGGCAGTTTTCTATTCCTTACTAGTTGTGTTAGTTTTTAGGACTGTGATAATAAAGTACCATAGACTGGATGGCTTAAACAATAGAAACGTATTGTCTCACAGCTCTGGGGGCTGGAGGTCTGAGATTAAGGTGTCTGCTTGGCTGGTTCCTTCTGAGGAGAATCGATTCCACAACCCTTCCCTAGCTTCTGCGGGTTTGCTGGCAACCTTTATCTTTCCTTGGCTTGCATATGCACCACACAGATCTATGCCTTCACATTCACATGATGTTTTTTCCCTGTGTGCATGTCTATTTCTGGATTCAAATTTTCCCTTTTTATAAGGACATATCCTTATAGGGTTCGGGCCCACCCTAATTACCTCTTGTCAACTTGATCATCATCTCCAAAGACCCTATTTCCAAATAATGTCATATATACAGGTACTGGAGGTTAGGACTTTAACTTCTTCTTGAGAGACAAAATTTAACCCATAATATGATATAAAAGAAGCTTAAATTAAAAAACGACCTCCCTTTGTAGGATCCTCTTGGATATCCTTCAGGATTATGCTTAAGGACAAGAGAATCCTTATAAACAAGTCATCTCTTCTTTATGTAGGCATTACGTTTTCAACCCTGAGGTCTTCTTCATGTATGTGTGTGTGCATGAGTACACACATGTGAGCATGTGTGTGTGAATGTGGTTGGTTTTGCTTGATGTCAGGTCAGCATATCTTTTGTAATTATCCCTTTGCTAACAGGGCAAACCTGGAAATTAGCTATGCCAAAGGACTTCAGAAACTGGCAAACAAGCTGAGCAAAGCATTGCAGAACACAAGGAAAAAGTAAGTATCATGGCAGAGGTAAGGCAAAATCATTCTTAAAAATATTAAAAGGTGATATATGCTCAGTGTCAGCTTTCTCTTATAAATATGGCAGATGCGCAATGTCAAGCATGGCTTCCAGCTCTTGGGTCTTTACTATGTGCTGTGCACAGTATTGAATGCTTTACAGATACTCCCACTCAATCCCACAACAACTCTTGAGAGATCTTACTATTATCCCTATTTACAGATAAGGACTTGAGACTTGGAGAGATTAAGACACTTTTCCCAACCACACAGATAATGAGTGGCAGAACCAGATTCATACCCAGTCTTTAAGACTCCCAAGACCCATTCATAATAGGCCTTAGTAATGATATTTAACTTAGTGGTGTCATTAGGTCAGAAGGACTTGAGGTCAGGAACTGTGAATCCTATGTCAACTCTACTTTGTGACCTTTGGTAAGTAACCTGACATCTGCTTGCCTTGATTTCTTCCTCTATTATATGAGGAGATGATATAACTTCCACTGTGTGTGTGTGTGCGTGTGTGTGTGTGTGTGTGTGTGTGTGTGTGTGTAAGGAAGGGGTGCATATTAAATGAGATAATGAGTGTGAAGAACTTATCACATTAGATGCTGAAAAAAATGTTGGTTCACATTCTCCACAATATGGAGAATGTGGCACTAAGAATAAAGTGCATTCCTTTGGGGGGGGGATAAAGTGGCACTAAGAATAAAGTGCATTCCTTTGGTGGGGGGAAGAAAGGTATTGGTGTCCTAAGAATGGCTCATTAGTGACAATTTACTACAAAGATTCTTGACTAATGTATGCAGGGATGACCCAAAACTGGCAACGCTATTATAGAGGTCTCTTTTGAGGATGAAAAGGCGAGCAAAAGAAAAGGAAGCTTTCTGGAGCTCAACTTTCCTCTCCTCCTCAAGCATCATCTGTGATCACAAATAATGGCTTTGAAATTGCTCTGACTCTTAGCTTTATTTTTATTTTTAGAATAGTATTTTAGTAGACTACAAAGGAGCCAGTATAGCACAGTGGTTGAGCATATGTAGACTTTTATTTAGACTGACCAGGTTTAAATTCTAGCTCTGCCACTTACTTACAGGCAAATGACCTAGGATAATTTATCTTACCTCTCCAAGTCTCTTTAACATGGAAATAAAGCCTACCTCAGGCATTTGCTGTGAGAATTAAATGAGATAAGAAGTGTGCTTAGCAGAGTACATGGCATGGAGCAGAAGTTCCATAATGTCCTTTATGATTTTGCTTCTGATTACTTCCTAAGGAATGAGAGGTTAGGGACAGAAGGGTTTGTGTCTTACTGTGTTGCCACCCTAGCATCCAGCATAAGTACTACTAAAAAGTTCTCGTGTCCAGCATGTTTGGTTAATCAAAATGAGTGCAATATTAGCAGTAAATATTATTAGCTGTATCTGTACCAAAATCTGTGTTAGGTACTTATACAGATAGCCCAAGTTATTTCTGCTTTAAAAGATCAGTTAAGTGAGAGTCAGAGATATCGAGTCATTTTTACAAGGTCATGTAGGAAGCAAAGGGGAGCACCAACATTCAGACACAGGCTCCTCAGGGGCCACATGCTTGGTTTCCTGCCCTGATGACCAATTCCTTTGGGATAAATGTCAGATTCTCTCCCCATAAGTGTGCCTGACTTCCTTTAAAAACAAAACAAAACAAACAAAAACAAAACAATACTTTGCTGAGGCTTAATTACATGCAATAATAAGCACTCATTGTAAGCGTGAGATTTGGTCAATTTCGACATATGTAAATACACTGTATAGCCGCTACTGAAATCAAAACATAGATGTTTTCATCACACCAAAAGATCTATCGTGCCTGTTTCCATTCCTTCCTCACCTAGCCCAAAACATCCTTGATCTGCTTCCTGTCAATTAGATTAGTTTGGTCTTTTCTGGAATCTCCTGTATTTGCAAGCAACAGTAAGTGGTCTCTTGGGCCTAGGTTTTGTGCCTGACTTTGGATATGGGGAAAATCTGGCATCCCTTGGTCTGAATCTTCTGCTCTTAGGCTTCAACGTACAAACTAAGATATTGGGAGGCAAAAGCTCTGTTCTGTTCTGTTTTGGGCAGGGATGCAGATTCATCCCCTTCATCAAAATCTATACAGGCCTCTGTCCTTGGGATTTACAGATACAAATGGGCCTATTGGCCTGAGTTTTGAAGGTAGGCTCCATGGACCTCTGTGAGCTCGGTCCCTTCTGTGGGAGAAGATAACGTCACACTTCCTAAAATCCTCCCTCTATGCTGTGAGGGACAGGACAGGGTTATTCTTTATGTGAAATTGGGATACTGTTCACAGGGCCATAAAATATCTGAGCTGTTGTCCTAAAGTCCCACAGGGTACAGGAGTTGGACCCTAATCCAAGAGCAGCAGCAGGACATGACCCGGCTTCTTGAGCCCTCTATCACTGAACTTTTCGGAGTCTCAGTTTATTCACCTGTGATACGAGGAAGCTGAAATGTCTTGGAGAGCTTTCCAACCCTATCACCTACTCATTCTCACCCTTTGCTACTTTATTTCTCCAATTTTATAAAGACATGAAATGGGGAATGAAAATCTAAATGAAAAATGACTAGGAAGAAAGACAGTACGTAGAATGACTATAGTGCAAATAAATATGTCGTCAGAATTGTTTCTCACGGAGGAATTGAAATAAGGTTAAGGAAATGAATACAATTGCTGAATGCAGCCTATCAGATGAGATGCTTTATTTCTCAGCGTTTCCTGGGAAAATGACACCCATCTTTGTCCCCCACCCCATTTTTGTCTCCAGCTGCCTCAGCAGTGCCTGGGCCTGGGCCTCGGAGGGCATGAAATCCGCAGCGGACCTGCATCAGTGAGTGCTCCCACCCTGGCCCTGCTCTACCTCCAAAGCAAGTTGTACTTATTTAAAGTGGGTGTGCTACAAAAATTCCACTTTAAACTTGCGCTGAGCCGGGCTCGGTGGCTCAGCCTGTAATCCCGCGCCTTTGGGAGGCTGAGGTGAGTGGATTGCCTGAGCCCGCGGGTTCGAGACCCGCCTGGGCAGCGAGACCTCATCTCTACAATAAATCAAAAAATCAGCCGGGCGTGGTAGCGCATGCCTGTAATTCCAGCTACTTGGAAGGCTGAGGTGGAAGGATCGCCGGAGCCCAGCAGGCGAGATTGTGGTGGCCGGGAGCGGCCACTGCACTCCAGTCTGGGCGACAGAGTGAGACTCCAACTCAAAAAAAAAAAAAAAAACTTGCGCTGAATAGATACGCCACAACACACCCCTCAAAGGGAAACATTATTTCCCCAGAAAGTAATTTGGAAAGTAGATGTAAACCCTAATACTATGCTTGTGTGTCTTTTATGTTTTATTTCCAGAAAACTTGGCAAAGCAATTGAGTTGGAAGCAATAAAGCCGACGTATCAAGTCCTGAATGTACAAGAAAAGAAGAGAAAATCAGTGAGTCTAACTTTTCTTTCTTCCCTATTTAAAGCAAGATTTCTGGGTTTGGCCCAAGGAGGGGAAAAGTCATTTGGAGGTGATACTAGCTTTCAGGAATTTATCATAAAAATCATCAAAAACAAAAATCCAAGATTTATGTACAAGGATGTTTTTAGAGCATTGTTTATTATAGTGAAAAACTGGAAACTACTTTTGTTAAACCCAAATTTCAGAATCCGAGAGACCAACAAAGAGCCAGCTCTGATGCAAACACACAAGGGTCTTTATTCAGGCTTGAGTCTGGGCTCACGCCCGAAGCAGCAGCTTCAGGGACGAGAGCCCTGATCCAGCATGGCAAGCAGTTTTTATATATCATTACAGAGGGAGGGGAAAGAACTTTAAACTTGTTTTTACATGATAGGGTAATTTCTCCTAATGGGTACGGGGGCACTTGGGATTGGTCTGGTCTGCTTAGCTACCTGTGATTGACGGGGGAGCTGCTAAATGAGCAGAGTGGAATGTCAGCAGGCAGGTTAAGCAAAGGAATGTCCGGGAGGGGTTTATTACTTGACATTCACATGCTGCTAGCAGCAGTTGCGGAAGCAATCGGTTATTTTATGATACAAACAAAAATTAAACTTAACAAAATTCTAAGTACAAACACTGCAAACAAATACAGTGACCGTGGGGTAGGAATTCATATAGTAATAGTTCTCTTAGAGTGTTTTTTTTCTTAATCTCTTGGGTCTCTCACTTTATCATCCAAAAATAAATTATGGGGCCAGGCACAGTGGCTCATGCCTATAATCCCAGCACTTTGGGAGGCTGAGGTGAGAGAATTGCCTGAGCGCATAGATTCAAGACCAGCGTGAGCAACTTGGCGAGACCTCATCTCTACAATAAACCAAAAATTAGCAGGGCATGGTGGCGCGTGCCTGTAGTTCTAGCTACTTGGAAGTCTGAGACAGAAGGATCACCCGAGCCCAGCAGGTCAAGGCTGCAGTGACCGAGAGTGTGCCACTGCCCTCCAGCCTGGGTGACAGAGTAAGACTCCAACTCAAAAAAAAAAAGTAGACCATAAAAATAAATTATGACAGATTCAAGCAATGAATACTTTGCAATCATTAAAAATCTTATGGAAGAATTTAACTATTAATAATTGGAGGGCGAGCCCCTTATAGTACAGGCTTCCCACACTAGGTAGGTGTTCTAGGAACCTATTGGGAGCAGTGTACCAGCTAATGTTGTTGTGAGAGGCTGCATTCAGCTTCAGTGATTTTTTTTCCCCCCTCTTTGGAGATTCTTTCAGTGCGTTTACCCATTTCATGATGGGTGATTTACAAGTGCACCTGCCCTCACTGTGTTCAATGTTCAGCAGTTTTTGACCAAAAATAGTATGACTTGCATGCCCTACCTTCCCTATTCACCTGATCTTATCCTGAGCAACTTATTTTTTGTTTGTTTCCCTGGATGAAAAAAGTCCTCAAAGGGAAACATTTTGCCAATGTGGAAAAAATGAAACAAAAAACAGCAGAAGTACAAAAGGCATCAAAATTGACAAGTTCAAATACTGTTTTGAGCAGTTGAAAAAGCATCTCAATGGGTGTATTGCATCAAATTGAGAGTACTTTGAAGGTGACTGAAGTTTAAACATGTAAGAATAAATACACAGTCTTTTATAAATAAATTCTGGGGTTTTTTGAGTTCCCCCATTGTAGTGTTAATTTAAAAAGCAGGATAATCAATACAAGAAGTAATATAATCTCAGTTTCATAAAATAAATATGAATATGCATGCATAGAAAAAGACTGGGAGAACCATCCCAAAATGTTAATAAGAATTTTTCTTAGATTGTAGAATTACAAATTATTATTTTTTTTGTGCTTTTTTTTTTTTACAATCTTATTATTCCATTTGTAAATAGAAGAATGATAAACATAATTTTTAAAAAGATGCTCTCTATGCTAATCAACTTCAGACTAAGTTAATAATGGATGCGATCCTCAAATGCCTTTAAAATTAAAGAAAAATAACTAAACAATTACTTCAGGGGCACCTGGTCTTCTGACAGCATATCCTCTACTCTTTCTCTGTGCCTTCTCGAAGTTTCATTTGTGCCCCTTTTTTCTTTTTATTTGTGTCATTCGGTTGTTAAGCACTTTAAATTATGATTCCAGGCAAAATAATTGGGTGTTTAATAAATACCACTTGGGTCCAATAGGGATGAGGTCATAGACATTGTTTGTTTAAGGTCAGGTACATGTAAGGTGGTTCCTGTGGAGGGAAAGGGCAGTGATTAAGGGGGCCTTTCAAGGGACTACAACCAGTTAAAGCAGGGATGCTAGCAGTAGCAAGACAGAAGGATGAGGAGTTTTGTGAAAACCCTGATGGAAGATAAATGATTTTTTAAAAATGATTCAAACTAATCAAACCGAGTCAGAAAGTGGAATTGATGTTTACATGTGCACATGTGTACTTTTCCATACTAGACTTTCTATTTCAGGCTAGGGTGATAAACAAAAATTTATAGGAATTACTAGACAACCATATAATTTTCTGCCTTTGCAAACCCAATGTAGTAAAAACAAAACACTAGTCTCTATTTCATTAATTACAAGATTTTTTCAGACCACATAATAATATAATAATTATTAATGTTTCTTTAACACTTACCCTAAATGAGGCATAGTGCTATGACAACTGGTCACAAGGGTTTAGTTAACTGATGACATGACCCCCTAACTGCTGTTCCTGTTTATCTTCTTTCCTTCATTGCCTCTGGCCATGCACCCCACCACCCCACTCTACTCTTTCACACAAGAGATAAGATTAGAATATTTATTTATTATTTTATTTTATTTTATCTTAATTTTTTGAGTCAGAGTCTCACCCTGTCACCTAGGCTGGAGTGCAGCAGCATGATCACAACTCATCGCAGCCTTGACCTCTTGGGCTCAAGTGATCCTTCCACCTTAGCCTCCTAAGTAACTGGGACTACAGGTGTGCACCACCACACCCAGCTCATTTTTGTGTTTTTTGTAGAGATGAGATGTCACTAGGTTGCCCAAGCTGGTCTCGAACTCCTGGGCTCAAACAATCCTCTTGCCTTGGCTTCCAGCCACCACACCTGGCCTAGATTTTTTTTTTAAGTGGTCTTGTTCCACATTCCAGCCACATACACAGAGTCAAAAGAGGCATAGTGCATACAATTATTTTCATTGTATTTGTTACAATAAACCAATACCCTAAATTTAACCAGCTGGAAAAAATTAAAGCATAGTGTTTGCAAGCTCTTAGGGTGGTTGAGTAATGGCTAATCTACTGGGTCTGTGGTCCAGGACAACAGGTTCTGCTGAAACTTCCATCAGATCTCTCTGGGAGGCTGCCTAGACCCATTTCCATCATTATTATTACTGTTCCTTTTGTTGTTTAAAGGCAGGGGGGAAAGTTAATTATGATTAAGAATTCAATCTCTAAAATTTAAGCAATATTCACTTCAGGGACAGTGGAGACACTTAGTAAAATTAGCTCTGCTAGGACCATTACTGATTCTCATAGTGTTGGAGCTTATGCCATGTGGATTGATGTTGAAGATGATGTGTTGGGACCAGCAGTGATAACAACCCCTGAAGGACCTCCTCCACATGATTGCACATATTTATATACTTTTTGTGTTGTTTCAGATTGGAAAGAACTATTTTACCAAATTCGGTCAAGAGGATGACATAGGGATACTTGACATGGGGATAAGATAGTTTGGCTACTTTCTCCAGGAAATATGTCCATTGTAGGATTTTGAAATTCCCATGAATTATGCTATGACTATGCCAGAATTAATAAGCCAGCACTGTGACTGTCTTAGTCAGTTTGGGCTGCTATAACAAAATACCATAAACTGGATGGCATATAAATAACACAAATTTGTTTCTCACAGTACCAGAGGCTGGGAAGTCCAAGATCAAGGAACCAGCAGATGAGGTGTCTCCTGAGAGGCCACTTCCTGGTTCATAGGTGGCTGCCTACTTACTGTAATCTCACATGGCAGAAGGAGCGAGACAGCTCTAAGGGTCTCTTTTATAAGGGCACTAATCCCATCCATGAGGGCTCAGCCCTTGTGACCTAATCATCTCTCAAAGTCCCTGCCTTCAAATAATATCACACTGAGGGAATGGGTTTCAACCTAGGAATTTTAAGGGACATAAACATTTAGTCTATAGCAATGACCAAACAAGAAGATATCAAAAGCTTCCCCCTCCCCTTTTTTTTCTCTATTCAATAGCTTGATAATGAAGTTGAAAAGACAGCAAATCTTGTCATAAGCAACTGGAACCAGCAAATTAAGGCAAGTGTCCAAAAATATTATTGTGTATTTTTTTTAAAAAACATAGTTTTCAGGATCAAAGCTTTTTGCTTTTGTACAAATGTGATTGTGTATTCTAGTGCTAATGAAGAGAAAAATTTTTGCTAAGTGCTAATGAAGAGATAAATGTTATTTTTTTGTAACACCTAGTTATTACATAGACACATCTTTCACCCCAAACAATAGAAAAGCATGGCTCTAAATATGATTATTATTTATAGCTAACACATAGCGTTTATTATATGTTGAGTGCTATATATTTATATATTTAATCATCAAACAAGCCAGTGTGATATGTGACCTTGCATTGTCCCATGTTACAGATGGTGAAACAGAGATACATGCAGGTTAAGCAAGTTGCTCAAGGTACAGAACTAATGAATGAACCAATGGTTGTTACAAGTCACTGGGTTTCAGGGTCACTGCTTTTAACCATTACACTGTCCTGGCTACTTCTCTGTATCATTTGCAACTTAAGGCAAGTGACAAACACCCATATGAGTTTTGGTTTTTTCATCTGTAGAAGGATGTTAGTGATTTCTGTTTCACTAATGGGAGTGGCAAAGTGAGGAGTGGGTAATATATATTAATGATATAAATTAATTATAGTAATTCCACAAGTTTGTTATGGTCCACTTCTTGTACACCACGCTGTACTAAGACATGATCCTTGTTTCCAAGTAAATTCAAATTTAGTTGGCTAGATAACATATGCACAGTAAATAGTGAATAAATTCTAAGGAGAAGAATTATGATTTGGTGTAAGAAGCTATCACATATCATTTTGGGTTCTTAACAGAGAATATAGCAGATGGGATCCATATGTGCAGAAGATGATTCTAGAACAATCTAGTATAGGAGGAATTCATTTCAAGTAGAAGAGACTAGAAGCCAGAAAGCCTGTTAAGAAAACTCAGTGAGTTCCTTTGAGAAGACTTGCTCAAAAAGTTGAAATTTTCCTTTTATGTCTCCAGTGTGTTCCCAAACAGAACCTTTACAAGAAACCGCCACTAGTGACAAATAACTAGAGAAGAATCCCCTCAGAAACAAGCCACCTTAGTGTTACTTCTGAAGCTTTCTGTTGAAACTGGTGACTGACTTTGTAAGAGCAAGGATATCCATAAAAAATATGGAGATAAATGAATTTCTATACCCTCAGCAGTGGTGCTATTAAAAGAATGCTCATGCTGAGCATGGTGGCTCATTCCTGTAATCCTAGCACTTTGGGAGGTGGATGTGAGAAGATTGCCTGAGCCCAGAGTTTCGAGACCAGCCTGGGCAACTTGGCAAGACCTCGACTCTGAAATAAATAAATAAAATTGGCTGGGCATGGTGGTGCATGCCTGTAGTCCCAGCTACTTGGAAGGCTGAAGCAGAAGGATCACCTGAGCCCAGCAGGTCTAGACTATGGTGACTGTGAACGTGCCACTGCACTCCAGCATGGGCAACAAAGTGAGACTGACTCAAAAAAGAAAACAGAGCCGGGTTCAGTGGCTCAGACTTTAATCCTGCGCCTTTGGGAGGCTGAGGTGAGTGGATTGCCTGAGCCCGCGGGTTCGAGACCCGCCTGGGCAGCAAGACCTCATCTCTACAATAAATCAAAAAATCAGCCGGGCGTGCCTGTAATTTCGGCTACTTGGAAGGCTGAGGCAGAAGGATCGCCAGAGCCCAGCAGGTCGAGGCTGCGGTGGCCGGGAGCGGCCACTGCATTCCAATCTGGGCGACCAAGTGAGACGCCAACTCAAAAAAAAGAAAACAGAAAAAGCTGCTTATGAGGATTACCTTTACAATAAACATTTTAAAGTTCCAGAAAAAGTCTCCTGTCACTTGTTTTCAGTTTTGCTCTTGAGTTTATGAACTTTCTTCACAAGGGTTTTTTTAAAAAAAATATTCCTTAAATATTCGACTTTCATAGGATATTCACTACAATGGACCAAAAGCCAGAAACAGTGTTCTGAAGCTGCAATTCCTTTCAAGAGCAAAAAAAAAAAAAAAAGCCTTTTAATATTTCCTAGTTTCTATCAAATCATTTTTCTTTCCAAATAAAACAATTTTATTTTTTATGAAGAGTGACAGAGAAATTAGAAAACATAAGATCCTTGAGTTATAATAATTTTCTCCCCAGTTACAATTCAAGGGATTCAGCATGTCAGTAATGAAGTACAATCTATTTGAGAGACACAAACGAAAAGCCTTAAAGGACCAAATACTCCTGCCTCACAATCTCATTTCTCAGCAGACATGTGGCTGATAGAAGGTGAAGAAGAGGGCCATGAGTTTCTGACGCCTTTAATTTCCCTTCTTAGAGAATTTCCACGTTTAGAGGGAAGCAGAAAGCTTTGCCTCTGATTTCCAAGCTAAACAGTCAAGGAAAGAGAGATCTGAGCTTCCCCCTTTTGTTATCTAGTTTGACCATCCTTGCAACCTTTGGGTGAAAAGCCAGTCTTTTGATCAGCCCAGTTCCTCAACAGGCTACTTATGCCTCCTAGAATATCATCTTCAGCCAGATTCAACTGTGTAGACTAGGAAATGACCCCTGAATCCTAACCCACTCCAAGGGTTCAGGCATTAACAGGTAGGGAGACTTTGAGCACTCCTTCCTTCCCACCTCTTCCTTCTCCCCTACCTCCAAGTGCAGGACACTTCACAAGATGCCAAGTAAATGCCTGACTGTCAGGTCTGGGCATCAGGGAACAAAATTTCGAGCCTTGTTGCATGTTTTAAGGGAACATCTTAAAGCAACCTCACTTGTGGCCCAGGTTGGTTTAAAAGAAAGATATAGGAAGTCTTCTGTGTTTGCTGTGATGTTTTTTGTGATAAAGCCATTATGCTCACTTGAGCACTCTTTTGCAGGGCTTCAGTGATTTAGCAAAATGTTTAACCCTCCTGAGTATACCTGACATAATGAAAAAATATGCAGGGGTTCTTAGGATGAAGTGTTAGCTGCTGTGCTGTTTCAGGTAGATTTTGAGGTGCGGGTGGGAATGAAAAACAAAACATACACAATCGTTAAAGCTAGCACATGAACACAACTAGTTCCAAAAAAGAAGAGCTTTTCTCTTGATATCAGTCTCTGCTTTTTTTTTTTTTAACTTCTGTGTATGTTATTGACTCTAGGCCAAGAAGAAATTAATGGTGAGTACCAAGAAGCATGAAGCACTTTTCCAGCTTGTAGAAAGCACAAAGCAATCTGTGACTGAGAAGGAGAAGCGGAAGGTAAGCTGTCATGGGTGGCTGGGTGCATGTGGCTTAGAGACGGATGGGCTTGCTACCCCTAGCTATGAACACAAGAGAGCTGGCTGATTTCTCCTGCTGTGTGGTCTCTGCACAGATGTCACTTGGCAGAGCACAAGAAAGAATTCCAAATCATTTCTGATCTACATATAGACACCCACACATACCCCACACACACATTTTTATTTAACTTTTAATTTTTAGGTATTTTGTTTTGTTTAAACAGATGGAGGTCTCACTGTTTCCTAGACTGACCTTAAACACCTGGGCTCAAGGGATTCTCCCATCTCAGCCTCCCAAGTATCTGGGACTATAGGTGCATGCCACCTTGCCTGGTCCACATATATTTTAAAAAATTATTACTGACAGACAACAAAAGAGACCAGTGATGTCCAAATTTTTTTAAGATAACTCTATTAATTTTAAAAATCTAGCTCATGATGACACGTCTGCAGTTCCAGCTTCTCGGGAGGCTAAGGCAGGAGGATCCCTTGAACCCCAGAGTTCAGGGCTGCAGTGGGTTATGATTGCACCACTCCAGCCTGGGTGACAGAGCAAGACCTCATCTCTAAATAAATAAATAAATAATTTTTAAAAGTCTCTCCTCACATTCCAAATAATTTTTCAAAAATGTCATAGGTAGCTGGGCTCAGTGGCTCAGCCTGTAATCCCAGCGGTTTGGGAGGCTGAGGTGAGTGGATTGCCTGAGCCCGCAGGTTTGAGACCCGCCTGGGCA